GATTAATCTTTGGAAAGGTCTATAATTTATCGTTGGAAATAAATCAAAATGCATTTTGGATAGTGAAAGATTTGAATTACAATTTTAAGGATGCTAAGGAGAAAAGGCTACTACAATTGAATGAGTAAGAGGAATTTAGAAATGAATCTTATGAAAATACTAAATTGCATAAGAAGCAAATTAAAAATGTCATGATCTTAAACTTATTAGGAAAAAATTGAGCCTTGACAAGAAGTTCTCTTGTATAATTCAAGTTTGAAATTAATTTCAAGATAATTAATGTTTAAGTGGTCAGGAACACTCACTATTGTAAAGGTGGATCCATATAGACCTAATATCTAAGATTATAAAACTACCCACAATTTTAAAGTCGACAGCTAGAGATTGAAATCTTATTTAAGAGTAGATTTTGAACATCTTAGATGTTATGTAGAGCTGGATATTCTTGAATAGGATTATAGCATAATCTAGTTGAACACTGTAAACTTTGTACTATTTTGGAGACAACCCAATTGATCCCTTTATTGTTGTTAGGAGTGGTGTGATTGGTATTTTTTATTTTGGAGACAACCCAATTGTTAGTTGTAAGTTTAGTTGCATCGTATTAATATTAATTATGAGTATAAGATTTAATTTGAAAATTTTATCATAGTGCCACAACATTACCCCCTGAAGTACCGCAACGCTGGGCCAATTATAAAATATTTAATTTAGTTGATAACTCTGCAAAGCTTCCCAAGCAGTGTCGTAATGCCAAATGTCTTTATGTAGAACCACAATACAACAACATTGAGCTCTCCTATCATTTTATCGGACTGAGCCCTGAAGCACTTAGATTAAGTGCCATGGTGGTGGTCATTTCGAGCATGATAACAATGTCAAATGTTGAGCACCGCGATAGTTTTATGGTTAAAAAGCTTGTGATTTTAATTCCCAAGGGAGCACCGCAATGCTACCTCTCCCCAACATCGCAATGATGGTAGCCATATTGACCAGTTTGACTGATTGTATATTATTAGTTAATTTTAGAAAATTATAAATATTTATTTATGTTGTAAAAATTTTCATATAAACTAGTTAATGTATTCAGAATAACTATATCACTCACATATTAAAAGTTACACAGAGAAAGTGTTCCATAAAGGGATGTAATATAATTTTGCTAACTTCAAGAGAGAAAAAATGAACTATTCTCAAAATCATTGAAAATAAAAGTAGAGTAGAGGTCACTTATTATAATTAGAGTAATTTTCATAGTATAAGCAATGAACGAAATGCTCTGAAAGATCTTTTCTCCACTCTCTTCTCTCTCTTCTCCTCTTTTCCCTTTCTTCTCCTTCACCTTTCTTTCCTTCCATAACTAGCCAAATGGAGTGACGGGAGATGGCTTAGGTGGTGAGAGATATTTATATGAAATATATTTAAAAACTTTATTTAGTATCCATAGCCATGGAATCATGATCCAGAACGCCATTATGTTGCATGTTGAATCCATAGTTACTATAGAACTTAGACTTTAACATTGAAGCGGAAATTTCCTAACGTTGTTGCGCTAGCAAACACAATGTTGTAGCACTGATGTCCAAAATTTTTATATTTTTGAATTAATTCATTTCATTAAATTTTGGGTTATTATAGTCTTATCTTAAAAATTTAACCTGCTTTATGAAACTAGACCCAAAACATTGTTAATACTCTCTCTTGAAAGAGAAGAAACTAGGGTGCAAATTTTTTAGCATATAAGGTGGAGTTATTGGATGATTGAAAGATTGGAAGAAAATGGAAAAAATCCATAATTAACAAAAATAAATAAATAAAACCACCCCAAAATTAAATATTTGAATAGTATAAATTTTCATGTAATAAACACATACTAAGTGGGAGTTTTATGTGATCTTCATCTTCATGCAATCGTCAAACTCTGTCTCCCCTAACTTCTTAGGAAGCTTAAATTATATATATATATATAT